TTAAAACTTACCTGTACCCATCAGTACATTCATTCCCCTTCATGTAACATTCTGGAAAGTATTTCGGAAGTATTGAAAGTGATTCTTTGTTCTTTACAATAAATATCATTATTTATAATCTCATTGTCATTACAGTTAAAGGCCTTTTGTGGTGGAGATCAACAATGAAGCTCAATATGAATCTTATTTTTATTATATATATTTCTTTACAATTCGATATGATTTGAAGATTGAAAACGTTGCGACCTTAGTCATCTTTCTATCCACGACCCAATTAGCATTTTATTTACCAAGCTGCATACACGAATGCGGTTAAAAGTAATTAACATATTGGGGAAATGTGCACACACAGAATAGTCATGTATATGTATTCAAAAGTAGTATCTAGATAAGAATTTAAAAATCTGCAATGTCATCAAAATCATCGCTGTTAACAACTAACAAAGAATAATATGGAAATTCAAAAGACTTATTAAATATTCACCACCCACTAACTGGTTTCAACACCACCTCCATATCCATAAAGAATGCTTAACTCATGACTTTATTTTTCTTAAATTAAGAAATTTTGGCCCACAATCTCTATCAAAATTTAACAACTATATCTTTCCTTCTTTCAGTTACATTCGATCTTAGGCAAACTATTATATTCTAAAAAAACTTCATTTATAGTACAAAGTAAGTACATGACGGCAATTGATAGTGATTTCATTCAATTAATACTAGCAATTTTTTGCAGATCTTATTTATTAGTCCACCATCAAAGCTCTTCATTATAATTTATTATTATATAGTTCATATAAAATAATCTTCACAAAATGCTAAAGCTAAACACACAAAATTTCACAAAATCTCTTCGCATATTACAAAAATGTACAAATTTGCATATCCATACCAAACATATGGCCTATATTAGGACCAAGACAACAACAACGAAACAGCAACAGATTTGGACAACACATAATAAATTGAAATTATATTCAAATAATTTAAGGTATTTAATTTCATAAACTTAATATGAATTTGCTAATTTTTTTATTTTTAATTTAAAAAATTTTATTGTATTCTATTTGGTTATTTTTAGCTTATTGCAAACTAGAAGTATGACCTCATCAAATGCTTCCCATTTTGTATTGCCAAATACCCAGCCAATTGCTGATTTGGAATGCAAAAGTGCTTTTGAAAATTTAACCGATAAGGAGAAATTGTATGCCCATTATTTTAGCAAGGCCTCATGGGATGGTGGTCTTGTTGCTCTTATCCAATCTAGTCCAGAAGGTCCTTTAATATTTTCATTGCTGCATCGCATCTTTGTCGCTGAACCATTGGAAGATTTGAAAAAGAAGGCATTGGAAAATGGCATCACTGAGGATGAATTTACGGTGAGTTGTAGAAATCATGGAAATACCTTGGTATTTCTTTTAGTTTTTCAATAAAGAGAAGATGCACAACTACTCCATTTCTCTTCATCCATCGACATCTATATTCATTTTCTAAAAAATGAGAAATAATTTCGAAAAATATAATATTTAAACTGAATCCTACTAATTTAAATTCATTTTCCCCCCTTCTAGGCCTTCTTGGTATATTCTTGTGGTGTTTTTGCCAACGCCGGCAACTACAAGGGCATGGGTGATAGTAAAATTATTCCCAATCTAAGCGAACAAAAATTCGAAGCAATTGTAAAACTTTCTGCTGCCTATGCCAATGATACAAAAGTTCCAAAAGTATTCAACAAAGTCATTTCGTTGATTTATGCTTTGCAACCACGTAATGAAATTTTGGGTTTCGCACCCAATGGCATTACCACCTATTGGTCTGATAATTGTACTAAAGAAGATTCAGATATTGTTAACGAATGGTTGACATCGAAACGTTTGGAGCCCTATATGTGTCGTACATTTAAGGTCGAGGAGGATGGTAAAACCATTTACGATGTAAAATTGGGTTCAGTTGCAACCAATGATAAAGATGGCATAACATTGCCATTGGAAGAATACAAGGGTAATTATTTCCGTGTAACAAGAGGTGACTATAACAAGTTGTTGGCACGTGTAAATGCCAATTTGGAGGAGGCCAAGAAATATGCTGCCAATGAGAATCAAGTGAATATGATTGAACATTATATTAAATCCTTCCAAGAAGGGTCGTTGGCTGATCATAAAGATGGTTCTAGATATTGGATTAAGGACAAGGGACCCGTAATTGAAACCTATATTGGTTTCATTGAAACCTATCGTGATCCTGCTGGTGGTCGTGCTGAATTTGAAGGTTTCGTCGCAATGGTTAACAAGGAAAGTTCGGCCAAGTTTGCCGAATTGGTGGCAAAGGCTGAAAAATTGTTAGAATATTTGCCCTGGACAAAGGAATATGAAAAGGATTCATATTTGAAACCAGATTTTACATCTTTAGATGTGTTGACTTTTGCTGGCAGCGGGGTACCGGCTGGTATTAACATTCCCAATTGTGAGTTGATTATAATACTATTGTAATATATATTTTTAATAACGGATGACTTTGTCTTCCAGATGACGAAATCCGCCAAGATGAAGGCTTCAAAAATGTCTCCCTCGGCAATGTTTTGGCCAACATCAACAAAAAAGACCCCATACCTTTCCTCACCGAAGCCGATCAAGAGCTAATGAAGGAATATAAGGTGAAATCGTTTGAGGTACAAGTCGGACTCCATGAACTTTTGGGTCATGGTAGTGGAAAACTTTTCCGTATCGATGAAAATGGCAAATTTAATTTCGACAAGGATTCAACAAAGAATTTAATTACCGGCGAACCCATTACTACTTGGTATTTGCCTGGTGAAACTTATGATACCAAATTCGGTATGATTGGCTCCTCTTACGAAGAATGTCGTGCGGAAGCTGTTGGCCTTTATCTCTCACTGAAACCTGATATTTTGGAAATTTTCGGTTTCAAAGATCCCGTCGAGCAAGAGAAAATAATTTACATCAATTGGCTCTCATTGATTTGGAATGGTATGGGTGTGGCCTTGGAAATGTATAATCCCAAATCGAAACAATGGATGCAGGCTCATTCACGTGCTCGTTTTGTTATTATGAAAGTATTATTGGAGGCCGGTGATGGTTTGGTTAAAGTTGAAGAAACCGAAGAGGGTAAAAACTTGCTTTTGACTGTGGATCGTACCAAAATTGCTACGGTCGGCAAGAAAGCCATTGAGGAATTCCTGAAGAAATTACAAGTCTATAAGAGTACGGCCGATATTGAAAGTGCCACCAAAATGTATGAACATTATTCCGAAGTTACCGAAGGTGGTTCTCATCCATGGGCTAAATGGCGTGACATCTGCTTGGCCCACAAAAAGCCGCGAGTTATTTTGGTACAAGCCAACACCAAGGAGGAAAATAATGCTGTGCAATTGAAAACCTATGATGCCACCCACGAAGGCTATATTAAGTCATGGGTGGAACGTTATCCCACTACGGATGTTGATGACATTCTGGAGGAAATTGTTGAAAATGACAAAAAATACTTCCCATGTGCCTTTGGCAACTGAAATAAAATAGGAGTTGTTTAAAACAACCGTTTTTAAAAGTACAGTAAATACACATACGTTAATACCGTCAATAGCATTTTTTTGGAAATTTTAAGACTTTTATAATGTTTGTTAATTTGTTTAAAAAACAATAATAATAAATGTAAATGTTTATTCAAAACTGAGTCTTGTTTTATTTATTTCCTTTAAAAATATCATTAAAAAATCGTCGATATTAAAATATCTTTGAACTTTCACATGATGCCAATTTTCTGTTACATAACATTAGTTCATATATGCATTGCCAATATGGAATAAAACTTCAGAATTCGGCCTAACCATTTCTGCCAAATTTATGAAAATTGGTTAAGTTTTCGCTGAGTTATTAGCATTTGAATTCAACGTTGCTCCGAAATAGCCTTACTATTCTGTGCTGGGCGCCTATTACCTGAAAATGAAAAATCACGTAAAAATCGCACTTCTAAAAATGGAAATATATTTTTTTTGTAAGTATGTTTCTTGTGAGTATGTATGTAAAGTTATTTGTCCTATATATATATATATATATATCGGTTTAAATACAAACAGCGTTTGACCTAAAAGTATGCTATACTTTTCGTTACAAACCAGCAGCCATTGTGAAAGAAAAATTGCCGTTTTTTAAAAATGCATTTTTGTGTGGTTTTTCATTTTTGGGTAATAGGCGCCCAGCACCGAACAGTAAGGCTATTTTGGAACATCATTGAATTCAAATACAAATAACTCAGCAACTACTTAACCGATTTTAATAAATTTTGCACAAATGGTTAGAGGGAATTGTAAAGTTTTATTACATATTGAAAATACAAATATAAAATTATGTTATGTAAGAGAAAATTAGCATTATCTGAAAGTTGAAAGATATTTAAAATATCGACTATTTTTTTGTAAAATGTAAAAAATGCAGTGTAGTCGACATGGGCAGACTGTGCTATACCCCACAAACATAATAGATCACATGAAAAGTGGACGGCTTTAGACATAACAGATGAAGGAAGTGGACTGATAAGTCCCATCTTCCAACATTATTCGCAATCTAAGCGAAGACAAATTCAAAGCAATGAAGCTTACATCATTGATACAAAATTTCCAAAAGTATACAACAAAGCCATTTTGCCGATTTATGCTTTACTACCACGCAATGAAATTTCGGGTTTTGCACCCAATGCCATTGGGTATTGGTCTGGTAATCGTACCAAAGAAGATTCGGATATTATTAACTAATGGTTGATATCGAAACGTTTGGGACCCTATATGTGTCGTACATTTAAGGTAGAGGAGGATGGTAAGACCATTTCAAAAAACAACAATAATAATAAATCTAATTTGTTTATGCAAGTTTGACTTTTTTTATTTTATTCAATTTTATTAACAATATTTTTAAAACGTTTAATCAATCAATATATAGTTCGTAGTACTAAGTCCATTTGTCGCTGCCGTTTTTGTTCTGTGGTCCACATTAAACTTTACGCACTTGACATCCAACATAATTAAAGAGATTGGCTTCTTCCTTGGGTGCTGGGGGATTGATAATGAATCGGGCAAATGTACCACCACTGCTATCTGCCAAACGTCCGGGATTTATGGCCAAACATCCATTGACAACCTGGAAAGAAACGATGAACGTTGCGTTAAAAATTGAATTTATTTTGAGCAAAAAGTAAAAATACTAGGCGACTAGAAATTTGAAATGTACTAAATTTGTAGCATGTGAATGGATTGAGCTAAAAACTTGAAATTTGGAATGCGAATTAAGGTTGAGAAGTATGGTCGATATAAGGAGTTGGCTTTAGAAGCGTGTACTCATGTATACGAAAAGTATTATATGGTACTATATTTGGAACAAATTTAATTTGGAGGTAAAAATCGAGTTGGAATCCTGAAAATTGAAATTAACATTACGGTAGAATGGAACTATTTTGGACGTTTGGGAAATTCCTACTAATGTGAACTAAATTTTGTACAATTTTAATTTTGGGTGAACCGATGTATGAAGTTTTGGGAATTTGACTAAATTGTAGATTTGGGTGAACCGGTGGTGGGCTTTGAATATTTTGGAAATTCGTATTAATGTGTACTAAATTTGGTACAATTGAAATTTTAGGTGAACCAATAGAGCTGGAAACCTTGAAATTTGGAAATAACGTTACCAGAGATGGCCTCTCAGAATCAGTGACCTAAATGACATACATTTCCGACGTATAATACATACGTCAGAAACGTCGGAAACCTACCCAAATCCATTAGGTTTTTGACAAAATAGCTATTTCCATTAATCAATTTGGAAATTACTCATGCTTTACTCAAATTAATATAAAATTTCAAAATTTTCTTCTCAAAAAAAAAAAAAAAAAATGTAGAAATTTTTATCAGTTCTAGTAAGGAATAGTCAGGTATATGTAAAAATAATATATATTCTTGAAAATAACTGTATATGCTGATAATATTGAAATAAATGGCGTTTACTATATTTATTACATTTTATACAGGTATGTGACGTTTTCGACGTTTACACCTTTTTGACAGTCAAAAACCTAAAAATTCGTCACACGGACCATCCCTGATATTCATATGTATGAGCACTATATTGTACGAGAATTGTTACAATTTGAATTTTGATGAACTGATAGAGCAGGGATCTTGAAATTTGGAGTTTGCGTCATTGGGGTGTAGAATTGGGCTATGGAGAAAATATTGGAAATTCGTACTAATGTGTAGTAAATTGTACCAAATTTGGATTTGGGTGAACCGATAGAGCTGGAATCTTGAAATTTGATTTTAGAATCACTGTTGGCGTGAAGGATTGGGCTTTGTTGAAAGTTTTGGAAATTCGTACTGATGTGTACCAAATTCGGTACAAATTAAATTTTGTGTGAACCAATACAGCTGGAATCCCGAAATTTTGAGTTAGGGTTACTGTTGGGATTGAGCTATGTATAAAGTTTGGGAGATTTGTACAAATGTGTACAAAATGGTACCAAATGTGGATTTAGGTAAACATATAGAGCAGGAATCTTGACATGTGAAGTTAGGATCACTGTTGGGGTTTTGGATTGGAGTATGTAGGAGGTTTTGGAAATGGCACTAAATTTGGTACATTTTGGATTAAAGCTAACCGATAGAGCTGGAGTCCTGAATTTTATACATATATGTATTAAATGGAACTAAATTTAAAACAAATTGGATTTAAGTGAACCGATAGAATCTTGAAATTTGGAATTAAGATTGGGGTATGTGGGAAGTGTTGTTGTTTATGATTATTAAATTAGGTAGTTTTGGAAATTTATTTTAATGTTTACTAACTGGTACTTAATTTGGATTTGGGTGAAGCTATATTTGAAATTTGGAAATTTTACAAGTGTACAAAGTGTAAAAAATGACACCAAATTTTATTTAGAGCTAGATTTATTTTGCGGTCATGTGAATAGAGTTGAAATATGGAGGTAGTTTTGGACAAACTTACTATAAGACAACGTAGGTACTAAATGGTTCTAAAGGTGCTAATAATGGTCGGTATTGGGTTTTAAATACTCCCCACATTCGCAAACGAATACATGCCCCTACGCTTGCGACATTTATTTATGTGATGACCTCACAATTTTTCGCTAACTGGTTTCCGACATTTTTTGGACAAATTTCACAAAAATACCAGGCGCCCAGAATAAAATAGAAAGTAGTCCGCCAAAATGTAGAACAAAATTTGCATCTGGCAACGCCGAAACTGTCTAAATAACATATGTATGCTAATATGTCCGGATAAATGATATATACTCCATATACATAAGCTGAGAATGTAAACTAGTTTCCATTTTTTGTAACTTACCCTTAGGAAACACTTTTGAGTACTGGGCAAGATTAAGATATTTGGAATTTTATCAATTCGTGCATATTTATTGGCCAAATCACTGTCCAAGCACATTTGATCTTCTTTGGGGTGATTCAAGGGGTAGAACGATTTCTGATGTAGCAAATAGTTGACGACACGTTTGACTTTATCACCAGCATTTCTGTAAAATAGAAAAAATATTTTAATATATATTTTTAAATAAAACAAACTTGTCCCTACTTACACCGCCAATTCCTCTGCCAAAATATGATCTACAATATCCGTAGAAGTCACACCAATAACCAGACCATTTAAATCCACCATCGAAGGATCGGGTAACATATGGACATTTGGAAAGGTCTTTTTCATTTGTATGGCCATTGTTGGGTAGACACAATCAGCATGTGCATCACGATGTGATGCAACCACCAGTATCGTTGTCTCCTGACCAATTGCCTCAACAATACCGGTTATCATTTTTTCAAAGAATGCCTCAAAGGTTTCGGCCAGGGTTACATTATCACTAATGACTTTATGATCGGCTTCCATAAATGGACCGCAAAGTATTAACACATTTGGACGATTCTCTTTCAAATACATAACCAAATCTTGTAATGGATCATATACCAAGTCATCATCATTGGTGAAGGGACCAGCGGCAATGACAAAACTTAAACGGTCAGCAATTTGTGGGGGTTTTGGTGGTTGTAGATTTTGTTCGGTTATTACTTCCTCAACCATAAAGACATCACCTTTGGGATTCATACCCGATACCATGATAACTTGACCAGGGAAAATACCCACCGATTTGGTTTTGGAGAAATTCAAACGTACCGTGTGACAACTGTCCTCGTTGGAACCGACTAATATGGTGGATGAGGGATCCAAGGGGCCATCATAATCACTGTGTACAATACCAATTGTTTTGATAACATCCTAAGATATGATAGAGGAATGTTTGTTATTTTTTGTATTCAAATTTTATGTGATTTCAGAACTTACTTGAGAATGCATATCCACCTGCCACAATTCGTAATTATCATTCTCCTCACCGAATACCTTCTTGCACAATGCTTTACCAATTTCAAAAATACGATCTCCAGCTATTTCGGCCTTCTCATAGAGATTATCAAACATATATTTGGCTTTGGTGCCGGGTCCCAAACAATTTCCTTCATGCTGTAGCAGCTGCTTAACAGTAATTCTTGGCTGCGGTGTTGTAAATGACCATTGAGCGTTGGTTATAAGTGATGGATTACCGAAAGTGTAAACAATTTTACCAGAACCGGGTGCCGCTGTGTGCGTTCGAGGTGTACCACTGAAATTGGAGAAAATATTGGGTTCTTATAGAAGTTTTTTTTTGGAAATAGATATAAATAAAAATAAAAGATAACATATTCATAGGAGAGGCATAAAACTTGATATTGGAAATGATGAAACCATAAAAGTTTATGTGGCTTTACTAACAATGTCGTATGGTTACAATGGAACAACTTAATTTCAGAGTTCATTATTTCGAGTAGTCTGTCGATAAGGAAGTAAACGTAAGCTTGAGGTTCCATGGTTCATAATGAAAATTTGTATTGCAAAAACTATTTTATTGTATAAAACACCCTGCTCCCTTGTATGCGTCCCTGTTTCGGTCAATGTTGTTGTAGCAACTCCTAATTGGTTCTGTTACCATTTTCTGGTTTTAAAAGACTGCGACTTGGATTAGAATCAAGGCGCATCTTGAGACATTTTGACAGAAATAAAGTATCGTGAGGTTCTAGTCTACATGCCGGTTATGTGACGTACATTTCCAAGAGCTAAGGACCTTTCTACCACTTCCAATTTATTCTCAAAAAAGCAGAGGCTTGGACAGACGTCTTAACATTTTGAGGGTAATTGTGGTCGTAATTTGTGCACCATCGTTGATGTTGTTCATCATGATCTTCATTTCATCCCTATGTTAAACAGTGCGACTGTAGATTTGAACGTGGATATTTTCCAAATCCGCGGATTGAACTCTAATTTAACGATCATGGAACCCGGCGCAATGATCCCATACGCACACATTACGGTATCCATGCCCACACTTTTTGGGCTTCCGGGTGTTGTTCGACGAATATTTTCATCCCCATTTGCAAGCATTGAAGAAGTTGTGAAGTGCCGAAAATTACTCTGGGCTACACGAGATTGGACAGCTGTTCGAAGTGGAGATTGGTTATTTATTTGAATCGTATCCAAAGGATATGATGATGGGAAGATGGTTTGAACCAGGGTGCGCAAAAATTCGCTCGCGAATGAATTAAAATACATTCATTTCGTTTTGTGCTCATTTTACAAATGAATTTATGGCGATAAATTCTTTATTAAACGAGCATTCGCCAAAGAATGTTCGCACACACATAACAAACGAGTGAGAGCACAAAACAACGATCGTTCGTTTCGTTTGGTGGTTGAAATTCTTTCTGACATTCTCTCATGAATGAAAAAAAAAAACATTCCCGAATTCTCGCGAATGCTCAAACAGCAACAACAAACGTTCGTGAACTCAATAGTTGTTGGATATGTGTTTTGTTATTCCACACACTTTCTGCTACACACACATTCTTTCGTTGTTTGTGTGTGTTTACTTTTTTTATTAAATTTGTGTTGTTGCTTTTAACAGGGCTCACGAGCATTCACGAACATTTGTTTTTTGAGTTATTCAAAAGAATGTTCTTCAGCAACAAATGCTCGCGAAAGAACGAATCGACGACGCTTGCAGCGAAATTTTATCGTTCGTGAATTTTTCGTACAACGCGAACATTCGCGAGAGAATGCAAATACTTGTTCATTCATTGTAACTTTATAATTCGCTATAAATTGAAAACATTCGTATTCTCACCGTAAGCATTCGTGAGGAAGAGTGTATTTTAATCACCCTGGTATGAACTGAGGGAAATGAAGCGTTGTCTGGCTCCCTCACGATGCTGATATGTGGTGAACTGTGGCACTTTCTTTTAAGTATATGAAATCGGGAGGTCTATTAACGGATACGATGATGGGAGGTGATCTGAATCGCAGGAAGTGATTGGTAACATCAGGCGAATTGTGTCAATCTCCTCTAATTCTCGAGGTATTAAACTCCTGTAAGTATATTAAATGGGTGATTTATTAACGAAGACAATGATGGGCAAGTGATCTGACCTCAAGGAACTGGTGCTTTGAATAAAGCAACAGAACAATAGGTGTATCGAAATTTGCTAATATTGAGTTTTACTAGGTGGACTCTGGTTACCCTTTGACATTTTCAGTGGACCCTAAAAAACATTGGTTCAAGGCTTGTCGTCAATTGTTATACCCTCAGCGGGTATATAAACTTTAATACGGAATAAAATGTGTGTCATCAAAATATTTTTTTGACCCCATGTTTCTTTGGATCAAATCAGAAAATTTGGAGTCGATTTAAAATTGTTCATCCGTCTGTCTGGCGGGCTGGTGAGAGCGATAACTCTTGAAGGGAGTAACCGAATTTATCTAAACTTTGAAAAATTTCTTCCAATCTTAGTTCAAGTTCGAAGATGGGGGAATATCGGTCCACTCCTTCTGGTACCACCCCCACAAAATGGTAAAAAATTAATTTTATAATATCATGCGGACGGACTATCCGAATCAAACATTGTACAACCTATTATCTTTACCAAGCCTAGATCGAAACCGAAAATGGGACACATTCTTCAGGTACCTCCTCGCACAAATGGTCAAAATTTTAAATATTTACAAATCCAATATGAGGTGAAATGGAATGTCCGATTTCAAATAAAAGTTGCATAACATCTTGCCTTTATCAATCCTAGATCAAGTCCGAACCCATTGGTCACTCCTTCGGGTACATCCCCCACAAATGGTCAAAATGTTCAATTGATCCTAGACCAACTTTTAGTGTAGCGATCGTCGTATCTCGAATAGCTGTCGATCTAGACATGTGTATCCGCCTATTATAATTTGTAAACATGCTATATGCCAGTCGTCAAGACATCTTGCATTTAGGTTCGGTTCGGACCAAAGAACCCTCTTTTTTGTAATATTCTGTTAATATTTAATGGATTACATTTATGAACATAAAGTTTTACAAGGAGAAGGGGATATATCCATTGTATAAGCATGATCCTTTTCATGATAGACTTTTGTGTGGAAAAATTACAAAATTTGAGTCCTATGTCGTATATTAATGTTCCGCCGATCGCGTTTAATTTTTATATAAAGTTCCTTTTATGGTCAATTTTATTCGGAGATGTTCAGATAAATTTTGTATGTTTTTCTAGTCGCTCTAAAGGCCACAATTAAAAACTGAAAATCACAAATTTTCAACGGGTATTAACTAAATGGAATGATAAAATGAACCTAGTTGTGAGAAAAGAAAAAATGGCATCTTATGACGTAAATGGTCACTCCGAGAAAACATGATCCAGAAAAGAGTAGTTCTTGATCTTAAACCTAATATCAATTATAATAATGGACGATGTCGGATATGGAAGAAATTTTAAAATATATTTAGGTATTGGTTTGTCTTACTAATATCTCAAAATATTGTCATATTAATTAATTCGGCCTGTCCTGCTATACTGCTCCGCTCACTGGTTGATTATTATTATGTAGCTGTAATTTGACATTCCGGAAGCTTGGTAGAAAAAACTGCTTCATCATAGATCATTTCAAAATAATTCCACGTTTCTAAATAGCTCCCATACACAGGTTACGCTTCATTTTCGGTATATTCAAGATCATAGACCATTTTTTTTATTCTGAGTGGTTGTATTTTGTATTTGGTTTTCTTCGGGCAGCAGCTTACAGTGACAAAGCCGCAATATAAAATACCCAACCTATTTTATGTATTTTTAACGTTCAACTTATGGTGGAGGGTATTACAAGTTCGACCCCGCCGAACTTTACTATTTTGTACATGTTATACTATTAATTTGATCATCAACATTTACAGTCAATATTCCTCTTAAAGTGAATTATTTACCAGCTATTTGACTGGCAGATAATACAAAAATATATTTAAGCTTTGTCAGGTCATAGAAGCGGGGGTTAACATACATACCATCCACCAACTAACAAAATTAACAGGAAAAATCGATTTAGTTTTAGTTACTTTTTTTCTTCAAACTTTTAAAACAACAAAATGTAAATCATTCCGTACAACAACAAACATACATGCACATTACAAGAACTTCATTGGCGTGTGTGGGTGGATGATTTAATGGCAAGATTTACAAAAATTTTCGCAAAAAACATGGTGAACATTGCAAGTGCACCAACTTCGACAGCATGGACTGACTGACTAGCAGTCACTGCAGTTCAGGCAAATGTCAAATATTTGATCTAAATTTTGGATTAAATTTATAGAATTTAGCGTTTTTTCGAACTAAATTCCTATGGCATTTCTTTTGAACGTGAGGCTATCGTAGAGAGTAACCTCCTCGCTGCTATGAAAATTGTGGTGTTTTTGTAGCTAAGTTCACCGTGAGTTGGGCCATCGCAAGCGAACCAAATAAAAAACAACTTAAATAAGAAATGTTTAAAGTTTGTTTTCGATTTTGTGTTTTTTTGTTGTGGGGAGCTTTGAAAAATGGAAAAGGTGTTTGTAGTGTTGCTGTTGCTAACCATTGTAAGAAGAGGTCTGTTTTTATTTCCCCCCTACAAGTTATACTGAAGCCGATGATTTTATTTAAATTTTTTTCTTTATGTCACTAAACTTTGTGGTCACACACACAAGGAGTCAGCCACGTTTATTTATTTAACATTTTCGTGTGCCATGACAACAGTCAATTTGTTGTTGGTGCTGGCTGTTGTTGTTGCTGCTGCAGCTTCTATTGTCATTTGTTTCTAAATTCGATGGCTATACTTCTTCTTCTTCTTCATCGGCTGGCTGGCTGTTGCTGCACCAAAAAACACACAAATTATAATCATGATATGACTTTTAGTGGATAAATTTAGCAAACAAAATTGAAAAAGAAAAGAAAAAAATATTTTTTTTGTATCCAAAAAATGGACAAACACCATGAAGGTTCAAAAGATCGCCTAAAGCTTTCTTTGCATTTAGAAGAAAAAAATTGTGCATGAAACAGTTTTGTTTTTTGTTTTCTGGTAGTGGCATAGTTTTAGTCTTTGGTTTGTTGCACAAAGATTTGTAAAATTAGGTGTTGAAATAGAAGTTGTGTTTAGCGGGGCCTTTAAAGGTAATATACACCACAATTTTGTATAATGTATCGAAATTTGGCTGGGACTGTCATTATTTCGTTATAATATTTTCTAGTAGGAATTTGAATTCTTGTGTATAAAACG